CTCATTGATGAGGAGTGCTGCACACAAGAGTGATAACCGAGCGTGCATTATTTTTCAGTTATTGCAGTTATTTTTCATACTAAATTTTTGTCCAGAGTATAACTACAAAAGCCTTTGAGATATCAACATGAAACTTCATATATGGATAGATCTCACTCAGGAGGTGTTCAGTGCATAAGAGTGATAACTCTACCCTTCATAATTTTTGAGTTCTTGCCCTTTTTATTTTTCATACTAAATTTTTCACCTGAGTGGAGCATATCTCTAAAAAAGCTTTTGAAATGTCACTATGAAACTTCATAGGTGGATATATCTTATTAAGGAGGAATGTTGTGCACAAGAATGTTAACTCTACCCTTTATAATTTTTGAGTTATTGACATTTGTTATTTTTCATACTTTTTGTCCGGAGCTTATCTCAAAAGTGTATGGGGGAATAACTTGAAACTTCATAGGTGGATAGATCTCATTGAGGAGGATTGCAGCACGCAAGAATGATAACCTACCGTGCATTGTTTTTCAGTTATTGCCCTTTGTTATTTTTCATACTTAATTTTTGTCCCAGAATATAACTACAAAGGCCTTTGAGATATTACATGAACCATCATAGGTGGATAGATCTTACTCAGGAGGTGATATACCCTTCATATTTTTGAGTTGTTGCCCTTTGTTATTTTTCATACTAATTTTTTCACCTGAGTGGAGCATATTTCTAAAAACGCTTGTGAAATGTCAACATGAAACTTCATAGGTGGATAAATCTTATTAAGGAGGAATGTTGTGCACAAAAATGATAACTTTACCCATTATAATTTTTGAGTTATAGCCCTCTGTTATGATAACTTTACCCATTATAATTTTTGAGTTATAGCCCTCTGTTATTTTTCATACTTTTTGACCGGAGCTTATTTAAAAAATTGTTAGAGGTTACAACTTCATAACTACAAAAGCCATTGAAATATCAACATGAACTTCATAGGTAGATAGATCTCACTCAGGAGGTGTGCAGTGCAAAAGAGTGATGACTCTATCCTTCATAGTTTTTGAGTAATTGCCCTTTGTACTTTTTTCATACTTAATTTTTCACCTGAGTGGAGCATAACTCAAAAGGTCTTTGAGATGTCAACATGAAACTTCATTGGTGGATTGATCTTATTGAGGAGGAATGTTTTGCGAAAGAATGATACCCTTTATAATTTTTGAGTTATTGCCCTTTGTTATTTTTCAAACTTTTTGTCCGGAGCTTATCTCAAACAGTGTTAGAGGTATTAACGTGAAACTTCATAGGTGGATAAATCTCATTGAGGAGGAGTGCGGCACACACCTACCGTGCATTATTTTTCATGTATTGCCGTTTGTTACTTCTCATACTTAATTTCGTCCAGAGCATAACTACAAAAGCCTTTGAGATATCAACATGAAACTTCATATGTGGATAGATCTCACTCAAGAGGTATGCAGTACACAAGAATGATAAATTATTCTGCTCTACTACATATGCATGTCTCTTGTAACAAGTTACATTACAATACTTAAAAACCTTAACAAGTTAACCTGTCAATTAAACTCAATGCTATTTGGAGATACCTTAACATTATACTTATAACTGTTTTTTTGTATTTTTTCTTTTTTTCGCCGTGACAATCACATTGCTGCATTTCCCAGCAATTTTTTACTTGTTGAATTTTATTCTTTCATCTATGATAATAATTATAGTTGAATATATGCTTTTCTATACAGTTCCTGTATTAGATGAAAGTTGATGATTAGTGTTGAATAATGGTGAAGGGAGATTGTCATAGTAAATACCATGTGATGGAAGTTTCAAATTCCTAAAATTAGAGAACATTTTAATCAGGGGAAGTAAATCTGCCAGTCTGTTCGGTATTTTGTCAAGTTGCCACACGATAGTTATCATCCCTTTTGACCATGATTTTAATGAGTCTGAGAATTAGTAATGTGAATAATTGTCTCAGATAATAGCAACATAGAAAATAGCATAATTAATGAAAAAGAATAATTGACAGAGTTCATTTATCAAAGTTCATGGAAATAAATTAATCTTCTTTTGTGTGACATAGATTTTCAACCTCCAGGCAAGTTATTTTATTTAATTATAATGTTATATAGACAGTATAGTGAACAATTGATGTTTCATCAGTAATGACAGTATTTGGTAATTTTCGCTTCCCGGGCTATAGTTAGACATTTTTGGGACTTCATGGTCATTAGTTAGGTATTTTGACTTTAATGTTCATGTGGTTACTATGAGAAAAATATCATGAAATATAACACTGTTTGATTTATATATGACTTTTTGGTGATATCATGTAGGTATTATCTTATAGTGTATTATGCTGATTACGTAATATTTTTAATCTGTTTCACAGATGTAATATTAATAGTGTCATTTGTCTGTGTCTATTTCATCATGGTAGATGTAGTAATGGCTATCACATTTAAATGATCACTTCTTTAAACATCTTCCTTTTCTTTAATCAAAATAAAGAAATTGAATAGTGAAACAGTTTATTTTTATTAATGACCCTGGTATATACATTCTTCTGTCATTCTTTACTTCCATATGGAAGTGTCTGTGGCCTTGTGGTATTCAAACCACTTGCCCCTCATTGCTGTGGGTTCAAATCCCACAGGTACTTTAAATTTTTCATATGATGAAGCTGTCCAGCTAGCTTATGGAACGTCATTGGTTCTACACTACTGAAATTATGCACAGACTTGCACCCGAGGTCTTCCTCCAAGAGTAAAGCTGGAAAGTTGCCATATGACCTATACTGTTGTGGTGTAGTATAAAACTCAACAACAACAAAACACAAAACCTCCATATGCACGGTTTCAGCAACTTGTTTCAAAATCTTAATACTAGACACATTTACTAACAAATACAAAAGCAATAATCATGGCATTTACAAACTCTGATCATTTTCAGAGTCTGGATAGCCATAATTCTTTAGTGCAAAAAGTAAACAATCAAAGAGCACTTGACCCTAACAAATTCTGATCAAATAAAGTTATGGACGATAAGTTATCATCTAGCTTGTGAAATCTCAGTGGTTTTACTCATCAATTAAACAAGAAGTCTCCATAATATTACGACATTATCAATGTTTATAGTATGGGCAAGTCATTATTATTGCTATCTCTAAAAAAATTTAAGTTCTGCATTTGTCAATGGAATATTTACTGTTGACTTATGTCCTGGCTATCTGGGACAGAAGATGTGTAAATGTGTTAAAGCAGCCAAAAAGCTCAGCCGTTAGAACCACAGAACAGAATTACGAGGGTCCCAAGTAAGTATCTTAAGTCAGGCTGCACATTTTTCCATTTTCACCCTGTGACATTTTGACACCAAACGTGGGACCATGACTGAATATAGCTCAGAGTTTAATTCACATTTCTCTGTTACCCTGAGAAATTGCAGGACTTTTTCAATAAAGCATTGGAGTAATTAGTTTTTGAGAGGAATCAGAATCAGACACATCATTTTCATGTTTGATAGTGTTCCAGAAATCAAGCCTGCCTGCATGTGCTATGTTTATTAAAAAATTATCACAGTCTTACCTGCGTAAGAAAATTTCATGGCTTGAGGGATTTTCAAATAACCTCACACAAATCTTTGATGCAATGAGATAGTGGAACACATTGGTTACTGAAATGTCAAGACATAAGGCCTAAAAAGACGGTGGGATGATGATGTACATCATCAATTAAAGGTAATAAGATGTAATATATTCAAAGCAATACAACACTACCAGGCTACCTATGGGGTTTTTTAACACATCATCTTAAATACACAACAATGGTTAACTGTTAAAATAAATTTCCCAAGAAGTATTGTTTTAAAGTTTTAACGGGGCCCCGGGCCCTTTCTAAATCCTCCCTTTCTTTTTTTAAATCCCTTTTAGGCGCCCAAAGGGTGAACATTACTTGTCGCCCCGTTTAATGCATGGAGTAACTGTACTTCTGACAGATGAGTCCTCAGTCATTATTTTATTCAAGACTTTATTTATCAAGACTTTATTGTTTTAAGTTGATGATATATTTCCATGGCACAAAGTTGTTTTATATTTTATAAATAGAAGAAATGTGAAGACTATGTATATTACTTTAGATTTATTTTGTTTTTATGGGTCAGCAACTTATTTAGATGATAAAATCTGCAAAAACCATTAGAATTTTAAGCTTCTTTTAATTTTTATTGTACATCTGCATGTTATATCAATAGTGTTTGAATACAGTACCTTCCCTGTTACTAATCAAATACATCACTAAATAGTTTATCATATAAACCAAAGTACAGGAGTGTATATAAGTCATTATTACACAAGTGTAACATTTTGACATGAAGTCATCTGAATAATATAATTTGCATTATAAACAAACATAACGTAATTATGAGCATTACCAGGTCCAAAGCAAATTAAAATGACTATCATTAATCTTTCACTGTAAACTGTTCTTTTTCTGGATATGTGATAAGTAGAATATTATATTGCTAAATTTATTCACAGACTTCAATTAAAGTCTAAACTATTGAATAAAATAATATTATGCTTGCCAAAGGCTCGCACATGATATTTATTCGCAAAAGGCTTGCAAAATATGATTTTATTCAACTCGTTTTATAAATTAAGTATTAAATCTACACTCTATATATCATGTATGCATGACTACTTGTAGTGTAAAGTGAGAACAGTTAATGATCATATGACAGAAAATTGTGCAGCCATCCATAGTGTTTTACCTGGCGAAATCATTTGCACAGGTAAAGAAGTTTTTTATAGTGAAATTCTGTTGAAAGGGTACAATATATTATGCCTGCCTTAAGACTGGAATGACGGGAATATTAGAGAAAGTTAATATATTGTCAAATCAAGATTGCTTTAAATGGATATTATAATCAAAGACAGATTGGTTTATTTTATGTTAATCTAAAAAAAGGACAACTAAAAAAAGACAACTAACCCTGTATTTGTGACCATGGCAGTGTCTGAGTGTAAACAGTCTGATTTAAGTGAATCAATTTTGAAAAGTTCAGCAGAGGATTTTGATCACAAATGTGTGCCTTGTTTATCATCTGACAACCAAATTGTTGAAGCAATTGGATTTTGTGTGACATGTCAGGAGTTTCTGTGCAGAGAATGCTTCAAGTTTCATAAAAAGACGAATGCACTTAAACATCATGAACTGCTGGATCAAGTAAGCATGCGGAGGAGCGGTACTTCTTCTATGAAGGATCATACTAAATCTATACCAGAGATTTTCACACAGAGATGTCCTACACATAAGAACGAGTTTATCAAGTTTTTCTGTCCCATACATGAGGCAGTTGGCTGCACAGTCTGCATGACCATTGATCATAGAACTTGCAAAATAGATTATATACCTGAAAACTGTACAGGAATTGCAGAGAGTGTAGAATACAGCAATGTTATACAGAAGTTGGACAAGAAAATGAAAGATGTTGATGCTGTTTTGATTAAAGCAGGACATGATGACAAGTTTCTAGATCTTCAATATAATAACTTTATTCTTGAAGTAGCAAAGCATCGAAAAAGGATTGACAATCGATTAGATGAACTTCAAGAGAAAGTAATTGAAATTGCAGGAAAAAGGAGATCCCAGGACAAAAAAATCATTCAAGAAGTAATTGGTAAATGTAGTGACACTTCGAGTGAAGCAAAGAAAATGCAGAGCAGTTTGCAAGACAACAAGGCATCAAAGCAGAATATACAACTGTATATAAATATTAAACAAGCTGAAACAAAACTCAAAACAGATGATATACACCTGACTGAGCAATCATTAGACAAAATAAATGTACAATACAAGTTTCAACATAATGAGGACCTAGAAAAAATGATTGGTAAGCTGAATGCCTTTGGAAAAATAAGTTTCCCATCAAACCTTTCAAGAGAAAAAAATAATTCAAAATGCCTGACATATTTTGATAAAATCAATATAAGAACTGATTCGGACAAAGCTTTCTTCAAATGTAATGTCATAGGATGTGCTGTGCTAAGCTCCAACAAAGTTGTCTTGATTGATAGTGCCCACAATCAGAAACTGAAAGTTGTAGATACAGACGGTAAAACTGTGATAGAGGAAAAAGTGATGGACCCACCTCCCTCTGGAATTACAGCAATACCAAATGATCAGATAGCTGTTACAATTCCAAAGAAGAGAGAAATATTGATAATGTCAGTGTCCAATGAAATTTCAATGGTGGGAAGGTTAAAACTGAAGGAAGAGTGCCATTGTATTACATATTGTCAAGGTCATCTCTATGCTCTTTGCAATAATCCACATTGCATATTAAAAGTTGATATGCAAGGTAAAGTGTTGAACAAACTTGCTGAAAATTATGAAGTTTTTTTTAAAACATCAGTCATGAAAACATTCATTAAAACCAACAGGGAAGAGGACATGTTGTATTATTTTAGATACACTGAAACCACAAGTGGTCATAATAGCATGATATTTGTTCGCATGGATTTAAATGGAGAGGTTTCTGCTGAATACGCTTCTGCTGACGTCATATCTAAAACGCCTGAAGACATGGTAGTATTAGATGATGGATCTCTGCTGGTATGTGTTAATACAAGTCCTGCCATCTATCGTATATCACAGGATTTCAAGGAATTCTATGCTGTAGAGACAGTGTCCACTGACACACATTCAATCTGTTACAATAGAAATCTAAGAAAATTTATACTGGCTCATTCACAGTAACCTATTGAAAGTTTATGAGTTGAAGTTATAAAATAAGCTTCTGATGCAAAGCAGAACAAAACTTTTGCTGACAATAAGCATGTTAATGCCAGGTATTCAGTTCTTACTTCTATAAAAGATTTTTGTTTAAATTAGTTGTCATAAATTATATTAAATTCTTGTTTCTATATACATTTTATGGTGTGCATTATATCAGATATTGCTCTTTATTATAAGGAATGAAAATTGACATTATTTTATGTTGCATCATTATTCTACACCAATATATGATCCAAATGGTTCAACAGATTTCTGTTTGTTTTTTTAAGGCCATTAGTGCTAAATGTCCACTTCATCATCTCTGTGACATCATAAATCATTTTGTTGTTTTAAAAATTAATTGGTCCTTAAAAAATTAATGAACCATTGACAATAATAGACAAAACACTATCAATAGCCAGCCCGCATAGCTCAATCGCTTGGAGTGTGAAACTTGTATCTGTGGGTTCCATTCCCAGAATGGCCAACTAAAAAAATACTAAAACATTTTTTCGGATGAGACTTTTAATCGAGGCCCCATGTATTGGTGCTTAAACACTTAACACGCTAAAGAACTAGGAGAGGCTTCTGAATTTAGGACATTTTCTGTATCTGTATCTTGCACTATCTTCCAAATCTAAAATGAATAATTAATACTCTTCTAAACGAGTTGCACATACATGTATGGGCAACCGATGGCGAATACAAAATAAATAAATACATACGCATAACAGCCAATGTATAAAAAAGGGAAAGTACATAACATATCACGAACGTTTAATTACAAATAAAGATCTAACAGTGGAAACAATTTTTAAACAAAAAAAAATTAAAAGTTTCGTTTTTTCCCTTTAATATATTTGCCCATAAGAAATGTGTTAAAACTTACGGGTTTTTAAAACAAAAAAGATTATCTTGGGTTTAAATAACAATAAAAGAAAAAAACAATTAGTTTTTTAAATCCAAAATTTTTTTTTAAAATATATTTTTCCCACAAGATACTTTAAAAGGGGTATCCAAATTTTTTTTAAACCAAGACCCTGTAAAACAGGGGAAATCCCCCCCCCGGGGAAATTTGTTTTTTTTCCCTCTTTTGGAAAGAATGTAATATGTAGAAGACCCAGAAAAAATTAAATTTTTAAAGAGGTCTTTTGGTAATGAAAACGGGAATGGTTTAAAAAGTGTTTAAAAAAGTTTTTTAAAACCAAATGTGAAAAAACTGAATGGCTAAAAATAAAAAAGGGAAATGGGTTTATTAAAAAATTGCAGGGCTGGTTATCATTCTTGTGTGCTGCACCCTCCTCAGTAAAATCTATCCACCTATGAGGTTTCAAGTTGATGCCTCAAATACTTTTTGAGATAAGCTCCCAACAAAAAAGTATGAAAAAGAACAAAGGGCAATAAATCAAAAATTAAAAAGGGAAGAATTATCATTATTGTGCACAGCATTCCTCCTCAATAAGATCTATCCACCTATGACATTTCATGTTAACATCTCATACACTTTTGAGTTATGCTCCACTCAGGTGAAAAATTAAGTATTAAAAAAAAACAAAGGGCAATAACTCAAAAATTATGAATGGTAGAGTTATCATTCTTGTGCACTGCACACCCTCTGAGTGAGATCTATGGACCTATGAAGGTTCATGTTGATATCTCAAAGGTTTTTTTAGTTATGTTCTGGACAAAAATTAATTTTAGAAAATAACAAAGGGCAATTACTCAAAAATTATGCAGGATAGAATTATCATTCTTGTGCACTGCACTCCTCCTCAATGAGATCCATCCACCTACGAAGTTTCAAGTTGATACTTCAATTACTTTTTGAGATAAGCCACGGACAAAAAGTATGAAAAAGAACAAAGGGCAATAAATCAAAAATTAAAAAGGGAAGAATTATCATTATTGCGCACAGCATTCCTCCTCAATAAGATCTATCCACCTATGACATTTCTTGTTGACATGTCAAACACTTTTTGAGTTATGCTCCACTCAGGTGAAAAATGAAGTATGAAAAATAACAAAGGGCAATAACTCAAAAATTATGAAAGGTAGAGTTCTCATTCTTTTACACTGCACAGCTCCTGAGTGAGATCTATGCACGTATGAAGTTTTATGTTGATATCTCAAACGCTTTTTGAGTTATGCTCTGAACAAAAATTAATTTTGAAAAATAACAAAGGGCAATAACTCAAAAATTATGCTGGGTAGAGTTATCATTCTTGTGCACTGCACTCCTCTTAATGAGGTCTATCCACCTATGAAGGTTCAAGTTGATACCTCAAATACTTTTCGAGATATGCTCCGGACCAAAATGTCGGACGGAAGGACGGATGGACGGACGGAAGGACGGACGGAGACTATTTCTATATCTCCCGCCGCCTTTCGGCGGGGGATAATAAAAATAAAATTCTGGAAGACAAATTGCAACGGGATCACAATAAAAATAGATGTTAAAATATAACACATTTTTAAAAACATGAAACGTACATCTATTTTATTTTCAAAGAATGCATAGAATAAAATGATAAATAAAAGTGTTTTTTAACATGTATTTGGGTAAACAAAGCACAAATGTTATAATTGATAGGGCATGTATAATGTAACTCGCATATATTATGTATTAAATGTTAGATGCTTTTTTGTTGATAAGTGTTAGATATGTCGAGCATTCTTTTGTATTGATCAGTATGGTTTTTGAAAAGAGGAAAAACTATGTGCCATGTCTTTTTTCCTCCTTTTCTCATGAATCTGTTCTTAATGAATTTCTTCATATTATTATAATTTTTTTTTTATCTATGATAATAATTATAGTTCAATATATGATTTTCTATACAGTTTCTGTATTAGATGAAAGTTGCTAATTAGTGTTGAATGATGGTAAAGTGAGATTGTCATGGTAATACCATGTGATGGAAGTTTCAAATTCCTAAAATTAGATCATCAAGTTTCAAAAACATTTTGATCAGGGTTAGTAAATCTGCCAGTCTGTTAGGTATTTTGTCAAGTTGCGCACACAAGAGTTATCATCCCTTTTGACAATCACATCTTCAAAGATTTTAATGAGTCCGAGAATTAGTAATGTGAATAGTTTTCAGGTAATTGATAGCAAAATAGAAAATAGAATGATTAATGCATATTGATAATTGACAGAGTTCATTTATCAAAGTTCATGGAATTAGATTAATCTTCTTTGGTGTGATTAACAGTAAGTCTATAGATTTTCAGCATCAAGGCATGGTATTTTTTTTAATGATAATGTAATATAGACAGTATAGTGAACAAGTGATGATTCATAAGTAGGTACAGTATTTGTTAATTTTCACTCACTTCCCTGCTTATAATCCTGTGTCTATAATTAGCATTTTTGGGACTTTATGGTCTTTAGTTAGTTATTTTGTCTTTGTTTTTCATGTGGCTTATATAAAAGTTTAAAATAAAAATGAAACAAAATTTTTGTTTGATTTATATTTTAAATTTTTAAATGCCCAATAAAATGAAAAAGTTTTTTTAAAATTTAAAGGGGTTTTGGGGGCTGATTTTTTTTGTTAAATTTTAATTTTTTTGTTTTCCAATTTTAAAAAAATGAAAAAAAGTTTGGTTTTTTATTTTTAAAAAGTTCCCCATTTGTTTTTTGTGTAAAAATTTCTTTTCAATAATGGGGGCTTAATTAAAATTCCCAAAAAAATTTTTCAACTTTTTTTTTAAAAACTTTTTTCTTTCCCTTTTTAATTTTTCGAAAATAAAAAGAAATTTTTTTAAATTTTTAGTGAAAAAAATTTTAAAAATTTTTTTTTTTAATTTGCCCCTTTTTTTGGTTTATATACAATGTTCAAAATTTTTGCCCGTTTTTTTTTTCCAAAATTGGGGGCTTTCTGTTAAAAAACGAGGGGGTTAATTTTGGGGTTTTTTTTTCAAACCACTTCCCCCTTCAATTTTTGTTTTGGCTTAAATTTCCAAAATTCCCCCGTAAAAGCCTTTATTTTCAAAAATTTTTAAATTTTAAAAAAGGGTACCAAAAAGGTTTTTAAGGTTTGTGGAAAAAACTTTAAAAATTTTGGGGGTTCCCATTTGTAAAAAAACTTTGCTAAATTTAATTTTGAAAACCAGACAATTCCCTTTGTGAAAAACTTTTTGCCAAAAAAATTTTAAGCTGGAAAGTGGGCCCATATGAACACCCCTTTTTTGGTGTGGTGAAAATTTCCTTAAAAAAAAACAACTGACAAGACCTCCATATTGACTTTTTTCAGCAATTTTTTTTCACAGGTTTTAAAATACTAGACAAAATTTACCTTTAAAAAATAAAAAAAAAAAGGGGTTTTTAAAAAATCTGATCAATTTAAATTTTTAAACCCCAATTTTAAAAGGGGAAAAAAAAAAAAAAGGCCCCCAAAACCCCAAAATTTTTTAGGGGTTTTTTTATTTTTAAAATTTTTTTTTTTTCCCCAAAACCCCAAATTTTTTTTTTTTTAAAAAAAATTTTTTTTTTAAAAAGGGCAAGGAAAATTTTAAAAAAAATTTTTTTTTTTTGGCCCCCCAAAAAAAAACCCTTTTTTTTTTTAAAAAATTTTTAAAAAAGGGGGGAAAAACCTTTTTTTTTTTTTTAAAAAGGGGAAAGGGTTTTAAAAACCCAAAAATTTTTTTAAGATTTTTAAAAAAGGTTTTAAAAAAACCCTTTTTTTTTTTTAAAATTTTTAAAAAAAAAATTTTTAAAAAATTTTTAAAAAAAAAAAAACGTTTTTTTTTTTTTTTTTTTTCAAAACCCCCTTTTTTTACCCCGGGAAATTTTTTAAAAAAAAAAGTAAATTTTAAGGTTTTAAAAAATTTTTTTGGGGTTTTGGTTTTAAAAAAAAATTTGGGGGTTTGTTTAAAAATTTTTTTCCCCCCCAAAAAAAAAACCCCCCCAAAAACCCCCAATTTAAAAAAAACCCCTTTTTTTTTTAAAAATTTTAAAATTTTTTTAAAAAATTTTAGGAAAAAAC